AAGCATTGCTATAAAACGTTTTGATATTTTAGCAATCACTTTGACTTTCGCACAAAATTATTTTAATTATTGAACAAAAATTATTTTCAGATCTGGATTCAGCAAAATTGTTCTTTCCGTGTAGTGAAATCGGATTTTAACGGTTATGGGTTTTGACGATAACATATAATAATAAAAGAGAATGAAAATTAATTATGTTTATCAATTAAAAAATACCTCTAGCGAAACGAGGGATTGAAAGAGATTTGCTGTTTAGGGAATCAAACAGAAAGGCATTTCGACGCTAAATGTTACTGATATTAAATGACGCAATGCTTCTGAGAGAGCCATAAATTTTCGCGTATCTGTCATCGCAGCCGGAGCTTTTTACACAATGCAACTTGAGAACTTACGCGACTGGATCCGATCCATTGATCGTAGGCTTCGGTGACTGGATTCCAGACCGGACAGGTGTACTCGTGTGAACGGGCGAAGGTCCTTTGCTTCCCAAAGGCTGCTTTATCCTGCAAATTGTCAGAACAGACGCGAGCGATAATTCTCGATGGTAATCAAGTTTCGTCACGCGTGATCATAAATTTTCTTAAAATACGAGGAACGTATGGTTAGAGGTATTACGATCATCTGTCACTTATTAATCTCCCGTTTCCGTTGACATATTCCAGCGATCTTACTATTAAGCCGGCATAAATCTTATCTATTTACACGCAACAACTATGTATAACTGCTATAAAACACATCTGAATCTAAGAAACACTGCAGCATATAAAATTAATCTTTTTATAGGCAGAAGAATTAATCTTTTTTATTTAAGATAAATTAAATAAGTATAATTTCATGTGAAAATTGAAAGGTAAAGTAATATATAGATTTTTTATATTTACGAAAGATAAAATATATTACAATAACTTTTTATTAGAATATCTATATGTTACAGAGTTTCTCTACCAAATCATTATAAGTAATTCATTATATCCTGTTTAAACGTCTATTCCTTTCTCGCTTCTAAAGAATAGGCCTGGGAATCAGCCGTGACCGCGATTTTCATACAGAAACAGAAATGAAGAAGTTGTGAGACCTCTCAACCCGTGCCATTACTCAAGCGAGACGTGATTTATCGAGGATTCGTTGTCACCCTCCGAGTTTTAACATGGGAAAACGAGACGTCTTGGACCATCTTGACCTCCGCGAACTTAACTCGCGGGTCTCCCAGCGAGGCATGAACAACGGATTAAGTATCATCTCGAGTGTATAATCTCAAGTGATGCGACGTGCATGATCAACATGTATAATAATTCGTATGATGCGCTTATCTCTTATAAGACTTGATGCGCACGTAAAATTTCGAAAGCATCTCTCCATTTTCTCGAAGTCTCCCGCACCTTTTATCAGCTGCGAATCAACGTCAATCGTTCGCTCAAAGGTGAACCAGTTTCGTAATGGCGTTTCGGTCGTGAACGTTAGTTTTTTCAACGTAACGGTTTGATATGTACAGATGATTTACAATCCGACATTCTCTAAATCACTGAAACAATCTCTCCAGTCGATCATCGTGCGACGGCTCAGTTTTCGTTACCGTTATACAAAATCGCGCTGCATCATGGCGCGTGCTGCGTTCTCAATCGAGGTAACGTTTTCCGATGCGACATGAGCTCCCGGCACAGCTCCAGCCAAGCTCAGCAAGTTGCGCCTTTGCTGAGCGTGGCTTATAAGTTATACAATACAGCAAGTGCGATTGAGTCATATATTCGCGGAAATCACGGTAATATTTGGGAGTATTAATCATTTCTCATTAACTGACTTGTTTACCAACATCGATAAATATATAGAAAAATATACGCGTGGATTATAAAATGTGACGTCGTAGATAATGTTTATCATGTGTTAATCTAGGAAAAATCGATGTTTCACACAATGTATCGTTATTAAATGTCGGTTGATTAGTTTCAAATTTTTTTCAGAAAATATCAACTTTAGATTTATTTTAAAATGGATTATTTAAGAAATTGGATTTAATCAAGAACAATGAGCTGTTCTTGAAATAATATTCGCACGATATTAAATGCTCATTGAATCTGAATCATTTGTAAATTTTATTAAAAGCTTTACAAGTTTTTTTTAAAGAAAAAATCAAAATTATAAAAAATTAACATCTGTTTAGCATTTCAAGCCGAGAATGCTCCGCTAGTAGACCATACTACGGCAAATGTCATCCAGCGACCGAACGAGTAATATTTACCGACTTATGCACGGCGGCGTGGAACTGACGCTCCGGAGACTGCACGTGCTGCTGTGACTATTCTGTTTATTGTAAGTCGGCCGATTGTTAGGAGGCTGCACGCAGACCCGCTCGGCGATGCGGAATCGCGGCGTCGTTGGTTTGTGATAAATCATGCTTCCTGCACGTTCCTCACCGTCGAGTCGTGGCGCGTCTTCAGGCCTTCATCGCCACGTACACGGGGGGGGGGGGAGGGCGCTTCTCCCTTCGCGCGGACGGTTTCGCACGAACGAAGGTTTTTCGACGAGCGAAACTCGAGGGTCGACGGATCCCTTCCGTGAAACGCAACGGATCGGAATGCACTCGACGATCGACACGCGGCTCCGAAACGCGAAAAAAAGGGGCAAGAGAACCCGACGCCGACTTGACCGCCCAGGAAGCCGCGGAATTCGCACTCGTTTCGTTTTGCCGTTTGAGACTGGCGTGCGAGAGCGGTCGCGAACAAGCGGTATGTCGTTTGCCGTCGTGCAGCTGCAGCTGCGGGCGGTACTGAACTGATACTGCCGACCAGGAGGCCCGACGTGGAGTATCGCGAGGGAGCAAGAGCGGCGGCGGCGGCGGCGGCGGCGACGGTGGTGGCGACTACGATTCGCCCGACAGCGGCATTAGGCACGACTGAGGCTCAGGCCTCTGTCGGAGCTCCGACTCCGCTCTGTAATAACAAAGCGTATCGCGAACCTATCAGAGGCTGCTTTGATTCCCTCCGGCCGCCTGCATGCACGCGCGCGGCGCAACACGGTGCATCCGCGGCGATCAGCTGTCGCTGTGCGCGCAACCGCGAGTACGATTCACGACGAGAGGTGTAGAAAGTTTTGCGGCCTCTTAGGGAGCTCAAATGCAAATGTAGAGATAAATGGAATAAGGAGGGAAAAAACATGGTCTGCTCCTTTAGCGGAGTAAATAGCGTGACGACATCTCGCTCTCTTTCTTGAATTTTGATAAATGGAAAGTTAAAAAGGGGAAGCACACGCACGCGCGCGCACACACACATATCGAAAACGATTAGTCGAACAGAAATGTGTGTAAGAAGCGTTAGATAATAAAATCACACGGAAAGTTCTATTCTATATATCTTGATTGTTACTTGCTTGCTTGAACAATGTGAAATCGAGCCTAATAAACTTTTAAAAGTGAAATATTTAAAGTATCTAGACGGCTCTTCTATTATGATATCTTTCACATACCCAAAAATTTTTAAAGAGCACGTTAATAATGTAAAAGATAAGACATTGTAAAATTAATATTTTTAATTAGACAATAGTAAATTAGCAAAATTTTTTTTATCAAGCTATTACTTTCAATCGGGTAATAATTTTCGAGCGAAAGAATATCGAGCGCGCGAACAATCGCTTTCGGGAGAATCGCGCGAGGAACATCTGGCAGATGTCCCGCTTCGAGAAACAGAAGCTACAAGCGCCTCACAGTTATTTCTCGCGCAGTTAAAATGATACACGCGAGTTATACTCAATTTCACAACGTATCGCCACACTTTCTGCCTTATATCAGCAACGAACACGAGTTTCTATGAATTTTCAAGCGGCGTTCAGCCCGCTCGTCGGCAAAAGGAATTCTTCGTTCTGCTTTCTTAAATCGCGCCCGCGCGTCGGGCTTTACATTGCCGCCGACGCGAGGTATCCCGAACAATATCAACGCGTTAAATAATTTCCGAAGTTTTTTTGCGTTCTTTCCAGCCTCACAATTCTGCGTTTGCCCGCGATCAACTAGCTTTCACGACTCACTCCATTTCGGAACGTGGCTACGTACGATTACGCGATGTGAAATTTGTATAATAAAATAACTCTATTGCGCCACTACGCAATACATTCGCAAATATCATGTATTGTCTACACATTGTCTTAAAAAAAGGCTCGAATGTTGACATACGCCAAGACAATCATTAAATAAATCATTAATGACTTTTAATTAATTTTCATCAGATTGATTATTTTATTCCATTTATTGAAACTTTGTTGTCACATCCTCGATCTTTTACTTATATATTTCTAATATGGATATTAAAAAGGTAATACATATATATATATTAATATTTTATCGCAAACTGCAACAAAATTTTTCTACACTTCCATGAGTTTCATTTTTACATAAGTTCGTAGATAATTATACAAGAACTTAATTGTATCATTATATAACCGCGGTTAGTAACTCAATGTAATTATATAATTGATCTTTTAACCGCATGAAATTCCACGATAAATAAACTCATCGATGTGGAATGATTATTCAAAACGGATTTTGTTTTCTATTCATCTCTGGCCACAACACCTGGAGTGTTCAATGCTAACGAGGCGCTTTTAATTCAAGCGAAAGAGAGAAAGAGAGAGAGATAAAGACTGCCTCACGATTACTTCGTATTCCGATGATGTTCCAACAAAGCCTCGTTTGTTACCAATGACGACCGCTCGCGCGTTCTAATTATGCGCTGCACATCTCACTATATACGCGCAAGTAGGTGGCTGCGTTACAACGGACAAACATCAGTATCGAGTCCGCGATGTCAAGAGAATCCCAAGATCCATCTTTGGCATCCGGCACGATGTGCCATCGAGTCGAAACAATTTCTCGCCTCGTTAAGGAAATTTGATGCGTTGCATTTACGTGGTCGTAATCGACGGTAATAATATCACTGCCGCGCGATATTCTTGGCAGCGCGGCATAATTAGTGGAAATGAAATTGTTTGAAAGACCGACAAGTAATGTCAGTCTTATGACTCATGTGTAGAGAGAGTATTTAATTTTATGGTACATTTTTCCGAGACTTTTATATCCTTTTAAAGATATTTTCTAGAAACACTACATATTACGTATATAGATATTTTTTCCCTAATTCTATATTCGAGTATTTAAAAATTTCTTTTTTTTTTGTATATTTGTTTAAAAAAAACTATTTTTTGGAGTTTTATATTTCAATAACTTTAATTTTCAGATTTATTTTCAAATAACTTTGTTATCTTTTTTCTAATTTTACTAACGAATTAAAGAATCTTTCTAGTTTTTCACATTTCAAAAGTCATAGAATAATCCGAAGTAATTTAATGAATGTTTGCATAAAAGTAAAAATTACTTTCCAGCTATGTCATTGTTTTGAAAGAAGACAGAATGCTTCGAAGATAAGGTATTTCAAAGGAAGCTTTATATGTCGTTAACAAAAACAGAACGCGTGGTCCGATAAATCTAGCGAATCATCAAGAATAACCACGTTTGTTGAACTCGCCGAAGGATCAAGGGCTCTCGTTCGGCCTCCATCTCTCGGCCGACCGCGAAACGCCGCCGTCTAAATACGCCGTATTTTACCGCTAACGAACTGCCAGACACTCGAAGCTCCTTTGGACCGAGTTAATTCCTCGATTCATTCCGCGAAAACGTCAACGCGACTGCGCTAGCCAGCCTCATTAACACGTTCGTGAAAATGTACGTAACTACGAGTGAAAATACTATTCAACTGCATATGACGAAATAATTATTACTTGGAAAACATCCCGTAACGCATTCATGTATTTTAAGCCAACTTCTCTAATATTCATTTTTACTACTTAACTTTAATCTCAGTTTAATTTACTCTTTATCTTTTTCTAATCCTCAGAAAAGGATGAAAAGTAAGTTAAATCGAGATTAAAGTTAATTTACATTAATAAAAATGGACATAAGTCAGTTAAAGATTTCACAAATAAAAGATAGACTATGACAATAATTTTATTACTACAAATTATGAATGTCGCATTAAAATTTCGATTTGGATTTTTATAAAAAGTGTTGATTACAGAGTAATGTAATTATTGGTAAGTAAATAAATTAATGAATTTAATTAATAATCTACTATCTAATTAACTACTATCTAATTAAATACTATCTAATTAACTACTATCTAATTAACTACTATCTAATTAATAATCTATAATTTCCTAATCTATGTTATCACATTCTATTATATTTCTAGATTTTTTGTACCGCGATATTGTTACATTTACAAAAAAAAACGCGCGATAATTGTGAAATAATAATTTTTCCGTTTTACGTGAATAACACATGTTCGGAAATTCGGGACAGGTGCAAGTTTATGTGTTGGTACACACTTTGCAGGATGTAGTCACGTGTATGAATGAAGCAATGCGGCCGTAAATATGGAGGTATGCGCGTGAATCATCGATAGGGCAGGACCGACGCGACAGCGGAATTAAACGGTCGCCGTTTTGCTATACACATGCATCCGGTATCCGGTTTGAGCGCGATGTCAGCGGTCGATGCCAATGAACCGTGATCGAATTCCGATTTCAATTGCCAGTCTCTGCAGCGCGAAACAACATTCGCTTTCTCGAAGGTCCTTTCAATTAATTGCGAAACGACATATGGACATGCAATAAAATTACTTCCTGAGATCGATTATTGTATATAACGACAAAAAACAAATTACATATATATAATTTATATATTCACATAAAACTTTTAAATTATAAACGACGCTAATTTTATTGGAATTGCGGAATCTAAACAATTAATTTTTCACGCGTTCAAGTTTTTTAGTTCGAAAGAAAAATATTAAAACTAAATTTTTAAGAAACCAAAAATATTTTTCATACAAATTGTTTTTAATATTTAATTAATTTTTTATAATTTTTAATTTTTTAATTTGTCAAATTTGTTTTAAAAAATTAAGAATATTGAATAATTTAACAGACTTTGCGATATTAAATAATTTAATAGATATTTATAAAAATTCATCTATTGAGAATTTTTTAAATAATTAAGATTTTAAACTTTTAAGTCGACAAATATAGAATAATCGAAATAGTCAAAATAAACAGTTTTTTTCACTGATTCTCGCAGGAGGGTAATAGTCTATTTTAATCGAGACTTCATTGCGAAGTCTACATTTAAGTTGCTATTCTCGGCACGCGTTTTACCATTACACGCGACAAAGGCGTTTTGCTATCGCCATCTGTTGGGGAATGCAACGAACTCCAACTTTTCATTGAGTGCATTCGATGCAACAGGACCGACGTAGGCAACACTGACAGTATATTAAATACGGTGTGATGCTACTTAAAAAATATCGCATAATTTCTTAAATTGCGCACTCTTTTTAAGCTTTATTACACAAAAAAATATATCTTTCTGGCAATTTGAGAATCGCGAATATCACATGTCTTTATAATTTTTCACTGAAAATATTTCCTGAATAAAATCTATAACATTGTAAAAAATTACTCACCCTTCTCCCTGCAGTCTATTATCTGCTACTTGCATAGGTAACGGCGTAGCTAGCTGCCTGACTAATTCGTCCCTCTCTCTTTCCTTTTGCTGGATGGTCTCCTGCAACCTTTGTTTCTGTTTCTGGTATTCCTTAAATAGGCCACCGTTGTAACTTTGTTCGAGGTTGTCGCTGGGAGCCACCATCGCTCTAATCGGTACCACGGATGGGTCTGTAATTTTGGCCGCGACTCCCGTAGGCTTTTCCGTCAGGGAGTCCCGTCTGGAACTTCTGGCGGTCGAAGGCGCCGGCGATTCCCTTCCGGGCACTCTGCGCTCTGGCGTGGACGTTGCTGAAGGGTCCGCTTCCACGCCTATTATAAAAATTACGAGTTATTTTCAAAATAATTTAAAAACTCTTTATGTGATATAAAACTACATTTAACAACTCCATTATTTTCACAGTCGTAGAAATAATAAAATCAATCGAAGCTAAATAAACTCTTATTGTAATAATTAAACACGTTATTAAGTGATCAGGATGATACTATATGAATTAGAAATTAATCGTTTTTTTTATTCAAATCTTTTATATAATATTCTATTGTGCACGTAGCGAAATGATTTAAAAAAGCTTCTAAGTACAAAATGTATGTACTTTTATAATCTTACCATCGGGGCTTTTGGAGTGTCCGCGAGTCCTCGGCGGAGCCTTAGGTTGAGCATTCATCGCAGCCTCTTGTATCGAGGGTAGTTGTTGGAACTCGGCGTAATTCGAGCTAAGGAAGACGTCGCCCTCGTTCTCGAAGAGCCTATCGACGCTAGTATTCATCAACTTGTTGTTCTTGAACCCGGTCAAATGGAAGCTAGCAAACGACGACCTCGACATCGGGTTTACGTCGCCGACGGATAGCGCCATAAGTGCCGCCGATGGTATCGACGTGTTCTTGGGACTCCTGGGCCCGAGGCCAGCCTCCAGAGCCGGCACTAGGCTACGGGACATCATATCCGCGGCGGATCTCGGCCTGGTGAACGGCATGGCGCTGTGCGGGAAAGTCTTCGGCTTGATCGGCGTTATCAGCATGTGCTCCGTCCACGAAGTCTCCAAGGAGGGCCTCTCCAGGCGTTCCACGTCGACATTTAGGGTTCTTTGTGCAAAGGGTACGGCGAACGTCTCGGGAGGTATACTTTGAAGCCACGAGAGCAAGCTCAAGTCCGAATCGCTAAAGCCCACGGACCCATCTAATAGCCTCGAAAAACTCATCTCTACCTGTAACATAAGAATACACAGAATAAAAATCTAAACAAAATGAAATTAAACTATGCGATACATACTATAAAAATAAGAATAAATGCATAAACTATCATACAATAAAATTTTACCAAGTTATTATGTACATATGTATAGTCTACGTTTATATGTATAAAAAAAGCAAAAGTAATTTTAATTTTAATATACTCCTTTGGCAAATTTTTAATATATTTTAATGAAATAAAATAAAAAATGAAAAAAAATTACCTGTTCGCTCTCTTTCGACCCGGTAGCTTTCGCCTGACAATAATTTACGCAGGACTCATACAAAATGCCCTTGATAATAAGCTGAATGAGTCGATCGTTTTTCGCCGAGGTAATCGGATGTGCGGGATCGGCGCTCTTCCTGTCGCCCGGCAGGAATTTCTCTACCAACGGGTGAACCTCGCGGAAACATTGTACCCTCGCGTTACTAGGATTCCAGTCCTTGTACTGCAGGTGATCCGTCAACCGCGGTAGAGTAAGCAACAGACACAGGCTGCTGTATTCCTCCTTGGAAGGCGCGAACTTTTCGAGATCGTTCAACACCTTAACGACCTCCTCGACGGCGTTGTCGACGCTGCCGTTCGTCCCGGCGGCGATAACGTTCGCCTCGGACTTGATGCACAGCAGCTCGACGTACTTGTGGCGCAGGATCGAGTACGTGAACTTCCTCATGTCGAAGTCCGACAGCGCTTCCAGCGGCTGGATGAACTCGAGCACGTCGTCCCATTGCCCGTCGAGGATCAGCTGGCGCAGGAAAAGCACGTCGTCGCTGTACTGGCCGTTTATCACGCCTGTCTCGCGCTCGAGCGAGAGCTGCGAGATGTGAAGGTCGCGGCTGTGGAGGAACTCCAAGGTCAGGCGCACCACATCCTCCTCGCGCAGCGTCAGGTGCGCCGCCGGCATCACGTACCGAATACGCAACCTGGATCATTTCATTAAAAAAACATAAATTGGCGTAATTGTGCCGCGTAATCCTCATGTATTGCAAGTCATTGATCGCCGAGGTACGCTTTGCAAAACAGTTTCTACCAAGAGATAAATCATTGAGAAATTTTGATGTTGACATTAAAATTTTTATAGAACACTTATAATCATATTCTCATAATTGAATTATTTTATAAAAATACGTTTCAGTTTCTGCGAAATATTTGTGATTTTTCGGATTACAGTAGATTTGCGAAGATGTAGAGAAAATTGAAAAAATTGATGATAATAACATTTACGATTTTTAAGTCGGATGTACATTACTGTAAAATAACTTTCACGTTTAGAAAGTCACATTATATGAGAAAATTAGATACTTGTAAGTATATGAAATTCAATTTTGAATTATAAAATAAAAAATTTTCATTTTTAACTCTCCGTTTTTAAAAACTTCGAATATATGCGCAATACGGTATTACGAAAACGACTTCTCATTCTGAGAAATATTGAAATTGCCACGCGGATATTACGAGTAATTTAACACGATATTACTGCTAGTGGATATTACTATGTAATATATGGGAATTATGAAATCGCTTCAGGAATTTACCCCTTGGTTTCAAGCGCTTCGCGTGCTACAAACGCGAGATAACGATGAAACGCAGACGAAAGGTTGCTTAGCTTAGATATTTATATTCAGAGTGGCCCACAGCGAGAGAGAAATCTAGATGAACGTCTCGGCATTCAGCCACCCACTTACGCGATAATCAGGGCACGTCTGCGGGTGCGCTGGCCCCGAAGTGCAACGAACTCTCTCGTGAGGAAGTACTATTTCGTGCATTCCGTACGTGCATATCATTATTGGGTTTCGTAATCGTTTGCGTTTTACAATAAACGGAAGTCCGCGCGCAAATCGAATTGCATCCACACGAATCGTGATGATTGTTACAGTTCTTTCGCAAGTCGGCTGTTAGGCAAACGCATATGCCGTTTTGCGACATAACGCAAGCACACGCGTTTTTTTTATTTTTTTATTAGTCAATTAGCAAATGCAGCAGTTCGCATCAACGACATTTTCAGAGCGCGGATATGAGTAACGCTGAAATGTTTTAAAAACATTTGATGACGTCCGTATTTCTGGCCCGGATGGCTTTACAATAGTCACGATGTGTGAACTGATCAAATTACGAAATATATGAAATTCGTACTGTCAGCGATTCCATGGATTATTTACACTTGACGGACCGAAGAGTCGTGTCAGTTTCGAGCGAACTATAGCAAGAGCAACAAGAAGTCACGATGTTTCCGCATCAAAGATTGGTGAGTGTATTTTTCTAATATACTTTTTGAATTCACTTTTTATGAATCTTTAACTTTTGGAATTAAAACTTTTCAAGAATTAAATTAAATATATTATCAATATTAAACGGAAATGTTGTAGAAATTAATACACGATGAAACATTCATCTTTTTGTAGTGTTATTTTACTTTTCCATTAATTCAATTTTTATATTCAAAAAATAATATTCCACAGTAAATCCACAGATGTGTAATCGCTCTCTGAATAATTTCAAAATTAAAAAAATATATTCCACAGTAAATCCACAGATGTGCAATCGCTCTCTGAATAATTTCAAATTGATTAATAAAATAAATAATTTAAGGAAATAAATTTCTGCTGTATCGAATATCCGTTCGAGAACAATCTGCATATAAAGTTTCCTTAATCATTCCAGTTCTTAGCAGTGACAATATCATTAGCAAGTATCGTACTTGCTGACGTCCTGGTTCAGCCCGGTTATAAACCTCAATCCAGCACTCCAGCCTACTCGCAACTTGCTCCGCACCGGACATATTCTGCGGCTCAAGGCACGGAACAATTGTCGAATAAAAAATCGTACCTTCCGGAAGTTCAGAGTGTTCGCAGTGTTCAAACGGTGTATCCCTATTACGAATCGCACGATAGCAATGCTCGTTCAAATCTGCTAAGATATCCACTTCAGCACCATTATCCGTACCATTATCATTATGCAAGGCCGAAGCATCTACACTTCGCAAAGATAGGAGGTCATGGATACACGCGGCCCTCGGTGTTCGTCGGCTATCCTCGACCCGTGGTAAATGCTCCCAATTTCATCTAATATCTGTCACATTAATTTAATTTCGTTCTAATATTTTGTTACAATTTCAGTGATAACATTTCATTTAATTTTATATTTTAAATATAATATTTAATTTAGAGTATATCTGTAATATCTAATATCAATTTATCTTATGCGACAAATGTACGTCACTATATTATTGCCAAACAGCTTTTCTTTGAGTTAATTATAATACGAACACTGATATTTCCTTGTATACGGGAATTGACCTCACAAATTGAAGATTTCTTAAGAACGATATTTCCTCAGCTAGTTCCATACCACCGGAGGTACAGGAGGTCCGATGGGTCCGATCCTACGAGCAACGAATCCAGTAAATCTGCGATCGTTGCACATGACGATGATGTGGCCGCGAAGTCGCCCTTAACCGACGCCAAGCATACGGCCATCGACTCGTTACTTCCAGAACATGAACCTACAGATACTAATGGTAAATAGTCTGAAGAATAAGGTTCGCCATCTCTATGGGATGATCTGACGTACTCTGCTTATTTTAAAAGCCGCGTAACTCCAATTTGCATATACAATACATATACGAGTTTCAATGAAACGCGAACGTAAATTAACGTATCGATATTAATAAATACATCCGCTTTCAATGTGAATTGCTCAATTACAGATAAGCGTGTGGAAAATCGTCAGACCAACAATGGCCATGTAACGCCACGGCATACAGGTTTATTCGACCTCCCGATATATTATCCCGGAAATGTACAGTACGCTCCTTCTGACGATGAAAAACAAAACCAGCCAGAAAACACAATGGAACATGCAATTATAAAATTTTCTCCGAGCACGTATAATCGGCAACAAACTTGCACAGGCTATGACAATCCACTCATGAGTAACAGACCTTCTACAAGAGTGCAGCAATCTTTGGAAGATGACTACACTGATGATGACGACTCACACAACAGATACCAAGATGCATCTCCTAAACAGTTTGATGGACTTAACAACGATTTCTTGAATACAATAGGATATTGGCAGGGACATACATACGATAACGTGATTCATAAAGATTTCGAACAAACCGCGGTTCCATTTCAGATACCAGCCTCTGCACCGTCCCTGCTTCCTTGGACAATTTATTATTATAATTTGAAAAACGAGAAAACGATTCCGACTGCGCAGCAAAACACCGAAAAGAAATCTTCGCAGGTAAAGATTCTAATGTCATTTAATTTTATGTTTAAAATATTTTTATTTTTGTCCAATTTTATAAAAATTTAACTGGTTATTACGATTGAGATGATAAAGACCGTTTGCATAAATATTTTTCAATTAAATCTCAATTTAAGTCTGATTAGTAATATTCACTATTTACAACTTCAATATTGAAAAAATGAAAAATATTCTTTTCTTCAATGTAAAATACAATATAATATTTGTACAGACTAAATATCTTATATGGTATTCTTAGAAAAACAGAAAGAGAAAGAATTTTTTTTACAAATAATTAATAAAACGCATTTACGTCTGCTACAGGAAACGGGCAATACGGCTCAGCCAAGACAAAACTACTATGACGAACCTTATTATTATGACATCAAACTTTTACCGCAAAGTTTTCCTGATGAGCCGATGACAACTACTATACAACTTAACCGCCCAATTATGGTACCATCTCTCAATCCCTATGTACCAAATGACGAGGATGTAATAAACGATATAAAAGACGAGGACCTCAACGTCGACGACTTCGTTCGTATGCCGTATTCTAATGGAATGGATACGTCGCTCCCAAATCGTTTTTCTTACCATCCACAACCGGACTACGATTCGAACAAGTTCTCCGAGTCTCCAACTCAAATCCCTAACTATACATTTGGCAAAAATACTGACGGGGATATTATTTCGAGAAATATAATGCAACAGATACCGGAAACGCAATCTTCAGCCACAAACAATTACCCGCTGGGGAAAAGAATACAAGCTGGACCACCAAATTACAATTATTACACTTATCCAAGTAACACACTATCTTCTGGCATGTTTTCGTCACCAGTTTATTATTAGTGAGGCACTGTTATAGATATGACGCTGTTATCGATTCCTGTTAGGTTACCTTGAAGCAACGAGTCGATTGACCGTAATTTTTTTTCATGTTCTATTTATTATAATTACTCTCATACCATGCACATATAATTTTTTATAAACGCACATCCCTCATCAAACTTCGTCCACTCGATAGTTGAACTTTTATATATATTTTTTCTAAGGAATATGATATGTTTTACTTCAATGTTAAAAGTCTATGTACTGAGATCTTAAATAAATTATTTTAATATTCTATTTTTTTACATTTTTTTAGCGCATTATAAACTTTATAATATAATATCCTAAGATGTCATAAAAACTCTAAATACTATTTAGAATTATCCGAATTTATAATATAGTAATCTTAATAATTTTGCTATGATGAGCTTCTAATCTTTTAATTAAGCTTCTAAATACGTGCTTAAACCAAATGATTAAACTAAGTAAACAGTGTGAAAACATTATTAATAATATAATATATTAATATATTAATAATATTAATTGTAACTGCAAATCTAAAACATACATTCTTTTAATAGACAAGTTGATTAACAAGAACAGTTTCATTATTGATTGAATAAGGACCGATAATGTTCGAGTTGTATGTCCAAAATCATGAAGTTTCATCATGGAATATAAATCGGGAGCACTTTCACCAACAATCCTTTGAGTGTAGTCGATAAGTGCACACAGCGATGAAACGAAAATTCAATTTCAGACAATTTGCCGGGAGAGTTAATTGAGCCGAACGCGGGGATCGTGGCGCCGGTTAAGTCTGTAAAATGTGCGAATGTCTACCGGAAAAAGAGGGCAAACACTGATCGAGCAATTTCTGACTCGGCCCCGGGGCGCATCTCGCTCTGATGGAATGCAATTTCTTCGATTTCGTGGAAAGCTGCTTTCGACGGGATGCGCGAATGTTTTAGCTTTCGTTATTTCTATTGGCGGGACAAACATCGCAAGGTCTGAAACGCGATAAAAATTGATCGGAGAGTTATATTTATTATATTTGCACGATTAAAGTGGAATGGCAAGTTCCGTCAAACATCAGAGATAACGTAATATTGCGTTAGATATTAAATAACCTTCGGCAAACGTCTTACGAAATCAATTGATCGTAATCGCGAGATCCATCGATCGAGATGCATCGCTGATCTCTTCAAATGGATACGTAATGCGTGGCTGACGACTGCCGGTTGTAGCAGGTCGTATAAACTCATCGTATAATAACGCATCGAGGTAACGGAGCACTGAGGCGTTTAAAGTGCGCTGAAAGTTATGAAACGAGACGTAAAAGGCACGCACCGTGTTTACAGCGATGTAATCATCAGCGCTGTTGCGTGAACGCTATCGCGAACTAAATTCGGTCTTTTGTACGTTAATCCCAAACGCAGAGATCTTTGAATTTCCTTGCGTCCTCTTTCAAATTGTTTGTTAATAACGTGGGATTTTTATTTAGGATGCAGCGGCTGCTTTATCTGTGTTTCATCTTGCGTAGTATCAATCAGCTGTTGCCGTTACACGCAATTGATTCATTTGAAATTTAAAGGGAAGCACACATCAAACGGAAGTTACGAATTGCTGGTCAGTCGTTCCACAACGTTTGCCATAATAATGACTACAAGAATCGGCCGTTACGCTCGTAACAGGTGAGTTAACTCTGTTATAATTAAGCAATAATTAAGTCAACGAGGGATCCTAATTGTCTGTCAAAATATATACATAGCACATTATCACGTTACATACTGCCAATTAATATTGCTATTCAGAAAATTTTTCAAGATTGGAAATCTCTTGAATTACAAACTATATACGGAATTTTAAAAAAATTAATTCTATAAAATAACGAATAAGATTCTTGGAATAAAGAATATAAATATCCAAAATCATAGGTAGATTATAGAAATATATAAAATTATTATATTCTATTTTGTTCTATTTTTTTTATATACACTCTTTAAAATATGTAAGACATTTATTAAGCGTTTAAAAATTTGCTGAAGTTTTTAGCGGAATTGATACTTCAGTTCTTTGAGAGAATCTTCGATGTATGATTGGCTGTTTTTTATTCTGCGAAGAATCTTTAGATCTTTTAATACGTCGTCCATTCTTCACTCTTCGATAATCGAAGCGTGACGAAGTTTCTTGGCCCGGCAGCCGGTTTCATTAAGAAGACGTATAATCTCGGAACTGCAATTCGCAAAAGTGAAAAAGACTTCAAACGTAAAAAGCGCCGTCGCCGAGTAAATTTCAAAAGGAACGCTCGTAAGTTCGACGAGCCCGAGCTTGTCGCCGAGTGCATTTCGCCGCCCTCACCCCGACTTCAACTTTAACATCGCCTTGACTCTTTGCACCGCATTTCCCGCGATTCGCGGGATTCCAACTTGTTCACATATATTCCGTTCCCTTCGCGACGTTATCCACGCAGGCGCGGCAAAAATCGTTTGTTAATTTATACTACGGTCCTTTGAGGCAATCCAATATAACGGCGCATCCTTCCGCAGGACAGAATTAATCGAGCATGCAAACGAGAGGAGAGTATCGCTTTATGCGGATCACTTTGCTTTTCTACACATATCGATTTTTCCGGTTAAATGAACGATAAAAACCTTTGCAATCATAGGAAGTACGGATACAAAGTCTATAATTTCTCATTCTAATAAAATAATATTTATAAGTAAACAGTCAATTACGTTACATTACTTTTGTACATTAATTCTGTGTACATTAATTGTGTTTTATATTAATATTAAAATATCAAGAGAGACACAGTAATCCTCTTTTTTAAATATAGTTAATTAATAAAATAAATAATTAATTAATTTAAGTAGGTATATTCAGTTGTCAGTTTACTAGAATTTACTTTCAGTAAATTAAAATATGTATGACATAATATTAGGAAAATACGTGCGATAACGCTAAGTAATTTAATAATTTCGTTTCTATTTATTCTATTTATTCGATTCCCGTAGTCAAATATTTATTTTAATATTAGATTAATATTTCATGTTTTGCCCACATTGACAACAAGCTAAAAGATAAAGCTGAGTAGTAAAGATTATAATGAGCTTAATAATTTGAAATCGGTTTTTTTTTTACTTTTTGTTTGTATGATTATTACAAATAGATATGTTATTTTTATGTGCAATAAAATAACCTAATTAATCTCTTATTTTCTAGTTTTCCCGCACTATTATGTTTGAAGTACATTTCAGATTGTAATAATACCTAATAAAACTTGAATGTATTTTAAATAAAATACTTCGAGGAATTCTTTGATTTTTTTCCAAATGAGAGAAAAAAAGGAAAGTAGGTATGATCTATTATAGCAATGCAAACAACTTCTTTGAGAAAAAGCCGGAACTTGCAATTTGATGGGAGCTGGGTGCGAATATGCTGGAGAATTTATATTGCCTGCTGAAAAAAAAACGGAGAATACTGTCGCGTGACCTATCTCCGTGGGTAAATCAAGCGTCGAATACCGGTACCGGTCTCGACTTACGGGGTCAAAGCTGACCCGCTGAATACCTCCATTACGGGATGGCTAATGGTTTCTTTGCGCTACGAAGAAGATTCCCTCTTGGAAATATTGCTTCTGGTTAGCGAAAAAGCGGTAAACCTTCCACGAACTACTCGCTCTTATCACTAGGGCAGGTTCAACGTACTGATACACCGAACTTAACATCGCATCGCGCTACAAAGTCTAAATTTAACGCAAACGCCTCAGTGGATGAAACGCTAAATTAAATTCGTCAACGTTGAACTCATCGCTAAATTAACTTTCACGAGGATAAATTGAACCTGTCGACGCCAAGCTGCCTCGCTAAATTCAAAGAATCTATATTTCGATTATACAGTCATAGCATGCATATATGCTATAATTAAGTTCATAAAAACTTATGGTATTCTTTTTCTGCAACAATTATGCATTTTTAGGCAAATCGCAAGCAATTGTAATAAATGTCACATTTGAGAGATTGTCTATTATTAAAGTAAAAGCATTGATAGCGTCATTTCCTCACACGATATACCAAACCTTTGCTATATATCTAACGATGACTCACCGATGCATTTACTACCATGTACTTGTACCATGTAGAAGAATTATCAACGATGTATCGACTGATTACAGGCGATCACTATATACATGAAACCGTCTTTAGTCTTATCAGAAAAAAAATTCGTATTATATAAAAAAGATGTAAAAATAAATTTACAAGTGATTGATTATCGGACGATTGCAGCTGTTACCTGATCATTATCGACGCATTACGAAGAAAAGGTAGAACCGCATCATTAGGATTTTTGCTATTGATGCAATGTGGAAATCGAGTGCAGTCGGAAATCCGTGTATCAGATGAGCGAAATTGAGATATAAGGAGGCTATACGTATCTAGTAAGTAAGCCAATTCAGGCTGGAAGATTGTATCACCAAGTAAGTCACTTACAGGTTCAGGGAGAATTTTCATTTAAAATACCATTAAAAAATATTGGAAGTAACAATAACGAGAATAAAAGAAAGCGAGGAGAGTGGAACCGTGCACAATTATCACAAATAATTAACATATTTACGTCTTCTGGGCCGCGCGTTTGTACGTCGTGGCAAACATTCACGCAAGAAGATTCAGGAATTCCTCAGTAACACATATTACACGCGCGACGCGAACATTTAGATCGAGATGCACGAACGAAATCGACGGAGCACGTGGATGCACGTACGAGTGTCGTCGCGCGACGCACTGACTCAAGTGTCGCCGGACGTCGAGGCGCCGCTGCGACGGCGCCGACGTATCAGTCGGAAGTAACACCCTTGCGATTACGGTCGTGAGAATAAGCGCGACGCGCATCGAGATCGCGTCGCACGTGCAAAACGCCACCCCGCGAGGAAATCAATCCCTCTCGAGAGTTATGCTTATGAGAGCATAACCCGTACGATCGCGTCACGAGAGACGCAAAAGGGAGTCGATAACGTCACTGGTGAACATCCGAACGCGGTGTCCGTTAAACGAGAAATAAATCGCGTTTAAGGTCAAGACGTTAATGGGAAGCAACGATATTCATTTGACTCTCGGTGCGCGATTTAATCCTCCAAGTTTTCAGGAATCTTTTCTCCAATATTTAAATTTACCTGTCCACGTAATTAAATCAACTTAAAGATTGAAAAAAATGATACGCGAATTCTTTCTCCGTGGTGACCGCTTTAATTGAGAATCCAATTAAATACAATTGCACCTGGAGACAAACTCAGCCGCGGAGTTTGCGAGTATCGGGCGTTGCATTAACGCGAAAAATCTTAACGAGATTTTGACCTCGAGATAAGTCTTTACAGCTTCGGTAAAACCGTAAAACGTGGAACCGTAGTACCAGTCCCCTGTGACCTCCCCTACGTGACCTTCACCTACGCGGCCACCTTCTCCGGAATACCTGCTGCCAGGTCAACTTCCGCGTCGAAGAAACATATCTTTATAGCCGCGAGTATCTCATTGCTGAGGACCGATATTCATAAGCACTTTTGCAGAATCGCGTCGGTCGAGAAACGGACGGAATAACGGAGAATCTTCGCGAGATCCGACAAAATCCCGCGAGTGTATCGGGCGACTTCACGAAAAAAAAGAAAGAAGATTGCACACTGCGCGCGTGCCTACGCAATTATCAGCAAATTAATATTCCTACTCGTGATGTAAAGCTAATTGAACAGCATCGCGTTCGTTGCATGAGATGTTTCAAAAGGGTTTATTTATGCGGAAATTAACTGCATCGCGGTATGTACCGTTTTGGAATAAGATTCAAAGAAGACTCGGAAGAAATTGAAAATTAACATGCAGGTTTTCGTCAAAGCATAGAAATTAAAAAAAATGTATATACACATGTGTAGAAAAAATATATGTGTGTATGTGTGTGTGTGTGTGTGTATTCAATAAATAAATAAATAAAATATTTTTCTATAACATTTTTGTTATTAAATCGTATATAATTTTATATTTTTCTATATTTATTGTTTTATTATATATATATAAAAAATTCTGAAAAAATTTCTTTCTAATCTCATGAAAATATAAGTATATGCTCACGCGCATTTCTGGGTAATATTATTGTGTTAAATTAAAAATAAATATTAAATTGCAATATTTCTTTTAATAACATCATCTACATGTATATAAAAGACTGTCGATATTAAGTTAGATGTCAAATTAAATGCTCCTAAATGCTTCTAAAGTCTTTTGCCTTTGACGAATATCAAGCAAAGAATGTAAGAATGGACTTGACGAAGTCGGTGCAGCGCGACGTGTTCTGGAGCAATGTCCGTTCCGGGCTACGTGCTCCCCTTAATTGAGCGTGCACTAATCCCCCTTTCCTTCGTCGTCGGCCTGGAGGGGCCCACGCGGCACGGCGGCGGTTCCCCACGTGTGGTCGCGCCTTAATTGAGCGTGCGCCCACTTCGAGTCGGCACGATTCTTTTCTCATCTTCCTCGCCGTCTCGACATTAAACCGTGCTCACGTATACGCGTAATAAATTAGAATCGTGCATTCTATGTGCTTGTGTGCGAAATTGTACCGCTGACGGTCCTAGGACGGAAGAGCGACCGTGAAGAATACGATTAACTCCACGTAATTCAGTGTGACTTTCGGTTAAAATACCAATTTCAGTTTTGTCGTATTATCCTTCTCACCGCATTGCGAAAGCACGAAATGCTATATACGGTTTCTTGATAGCGTCTCAGCTATCTTGAATTCTGACGTAACAAACGAAGAGAAATACATGAATAGCTCTTACGCCTTACACCCACACTAATTTTTCGCGAATAAAATCAATATTCCATTTAATGAAGCTTGTTCACGTAAAATAATCTTGTTTTTCAAAATAATAAAAATTTAGAAAGTCAAGATTTAATCAAAAAGCATTTTGATTTTAATTGGGAATTATATTTAATTCGCGTGTTAAACGCCGATTTATTTTAATCGGGGGAAACGAGATCGCTTTCTATGGCATTATATAAAAAGATTTAGACGAGTCAAGTTCAAGGTATTCCATGAGATATACGTGCTATTTCAGCGCGAACAATCGATTCATGACATTTACCAAAGCTCTTGCAGTCGTTTAAAGACTCATTTGTCAATGTCGCAACTCGTGTAACTTCATTATCATAAACTCATTACGATCTGTCTAAAATCGAAGAAGTGAGTCACATTAAGAATTATCCTGTTGACTAGCATGAAATTTAAATACGACTTTTCCGTCAACAGATGATGCACATATTATTTCTCACGTAATTTATAACGTTCAACACGATGACACGTACGATATGAGTCTACAATCAACACAAATATTGGCCGGAGTGGCATCATAAGTATAATCTCGGAGTAGACCTGTTTATCAGTGATTCATCGCTGCAGGTCTTACTGAATTTATTATAGAGGTCGAAGTGAGTCAACTGGTTGAGTAATCTGCGGTTTTCTCATTTCTCCAGTATTAACTATAATGCCACAGAAAAACTGATATATAAGCTATATTTATCCTAATCAATTTTATACCTAAATGATGATTTATGTATAAAATAATACCAAATATCATTTTTTGTAATTTCTACAAAATTCTTAAAGTTTCTTATACACAATATAAAGCTAATAATATATCTGTTTTTCAACGTTAAAACATGAAACAGAACGAGACTTCTTCGGTTCGTGATTATTAAACATCTACCGATCTATTGTATATCAAATTTGAAGAAACCAATCAATTTTTACTTATGTATTCATTATTCATTGAGATAAAATTATTCTATTCCTATAAATTTCTTATATAATTCCTATAAATTAGCTACTATCTTGTATTATTATCTCATCAAGAATTTCTCTCGAGCTCCCACAACTATAATCGGTAGTCCAGGATGACGTACGATTATACCGGAAAAGAATTCACTGAAAGATCGAGGCCAAGTGACGATGTCCGGCCACGTGATGCGTCGTCACGATCGGAACTAAACGTACTTTCGATCCGGCCAGCATGCGTGCGTTTCGGTATATCGAAACGACGCATCGTCGTGGGACGTTCATTTCTCCGAGAGGAGAAACGGCGATCTAACAGAATTTCACCGACCCAAAAAACGACAGCTTTTCCGACGTCACCGCGCCAATCTTTTTTCCCCATCGCGGATATTCCTTCTTCCTACGACCGTTTCTTACGGCGCGAACGCAGGAAAGAGTCCTCAGAGCGAGCGATCAATCGGAACCGATCGCTCGCACTTGACCGCCGCATCGCCGCCGTGCTATTGTTCGACGTGAGAAAAAAGAAAATGATCTGAGACCGCCTGAAAAATAAGATCGCGCATTATCGCGGAAATCATACGGGACTCGGCGCGAGGCCATTTAGAGCAATTTGCGTTCAGTCAATGCGTATCGCGGGGACGTGAATGCGTAACGGCGCCAAATTTACTACCGTTGTCCGTTCTGACTGAATTCACATAATGTCTTGACAGGTCAACCGTCCCCACGATTATTGAAACGATTACTTTCGAGGTGCTTCCACAACACGATGTAATAAACCACGAGGTAATTTTACACGATAGACACATACATAGTACGTTAACCTAACGTCGTAAATACCGTAGGTAATTACCGAACCGCAATCGCTGGGAACGAGAGCGGCGTAATAGCGCGACTATGATGCTTCTCGTACCTTCCTAGTGTATCCCTCGAGAAATCCTCAATTACAGCGATCGCCGATGACATTACGACGACCATGGTAAGGCTTGTATCCCATGTCTCGCGCGGATGTAGAAATGTTACACGTTTTGACGCGTATGCAATCACCGGATACGATTCACCGCAAAAATCTGGCACATTCGCAAAAATTGGCACTCGATGGCATCAGTTTTCCTCGCAAAATACGCGCAATTTCTTCGAATCACAATTCCGCTTCGAAAGTCACACTTGTTCTACATTCAGGAAAACGCCGAGGGGATCGCTCGTAAAGTCGTCGCTTAAAGCGCGATACACGGTAATGCGATTATGCAAATCCGATCGCATATATCATGAATCATCACCCCGAGGCCCGAATCCTTTGGAATACATCAATGCTCATATCGAGTCAACGACCCTGGGATCAGTTGTGATCTACGATAGCCTTGGTCGGTTTCTCGGAGGATGAATACCGAGATACTGACGGGAAACGCGCGAGCTGTTGGCATCGGCCGGCACGCGCCACAAGACAATCGGCGTAGCCGAGGATCGGCGAAGCACATAATACGACGACCGCGGCACGGCAGGCAAGTCACGTAGATCGGGCTTGCTCGACACGCGAACAATTGTTTTCTGAATTCAGATCGCACGATCCATCATGTTTTGCGAGTTAACGACCTTGTCCGAGGTCGCGATCTCGGCGAAAACTATTCACTGCACAATTAATTCCAATAGAAGATCTCGACAGTTGCACGAAATAATATCGTTCAGTATACCTGATGTACACGTTTCACTTTTTATTCCAAATTGATTCAGAATGCTGTAGATCGCAAGATATCACAAAACAAATCCTTGCATTTACGAGATACCCGAGTTACGGTCCCACAAGAAGAGAGCGTCGTCATCGGCGGTTACGGTTTCGGCGAGCGGCGGGCTGCAAGTGCACGCGAGATCGCGAGGAGCCAGCCGATGCACCGTCCGCAATGTCGAGGAGGAGAGGAAGAAGGTCCGACTCTGAAGGTGCTCGCGCTGGCTCCGAGGAGGCACATTCACCTTACCAGGCTCTTACGCACCTGTGTGCACGCGTAAGCG